TTGCCTTTTTTGGGGGGCGATGCCAAATCCCTCGCTTGGGGGTTTCTTGCTCGTCGGGTGCTGCCTTTCGTGCTTGGGTTCTTTTGTTGCCTTTTTTGGGGGGCGATGCCAAATCCCTCGCTTGGGTGTTTCTTGCTCGTCGGGTGCTGCCTTTCGTGTTGGGGTTCTTTTTTGGCCTTTTTTGTGGGCGATGCCAAATCCCTCGCTTGGGTGTTTCTTGCTCGTCGGGTGCTTACTAAATGGATGGCCATGGGATCAGTCTATCTAGAACTGTTTGAAACGAAGCCCTGTTGCATCCTTGTGTGCCCTATTTATTATCCCTTACGTGCTATGGAACACCATTTTGTAGCCCCAAAATGTCCAAATTCTATCAAGATTTCCCCTGTCTAGCCAAGTGCTGCCTTGCCTTTTTTGGGGGCGATGCCAAATCCCTCGCTTGGGTGTTTCTTGCTCGTCAGGTGCTGCCTTTCATGTTTGTTTTTTTTTGCCTTTTTTGGGGGGCGATGCCAAATCCCTCGCTTGGGTGTTTCTTGCTCGTCGGGTGCTTACTAAATGGATGGTCATGGGATCAGTCTATCTAGAACTGTTTCAAACAAAGCCCTGTTGCATCCTTGTGTGCCCTATTATCCCTTACGTGCTATGGAACACCATTTTGTAGTCCCAACATGTCCAAAATCTGTCAAGATTTCCCCTGTCTAGCCAAGTGCTGCCTTGCCTTTTTTGGGGGCGATGCCAAATCCCTCGCTTGGGTGTTTCTTGCTCGTCGGGTGCTGCCTTTCGTGTTTGTTTTTTTTTTTGCGTTTTTTGGGGGGCGATGCCAAATCCCTCGCTTGGGTGTTTCTTGCTCGTCGGGTGCTGCCTTTCGTGCTTGTTTTTTTTGCCTTTTTTGGGGGGCGATGCCAAATCCCTCGCTTGGGTGTTTCTTGCTCGTCGGGTGCTTACTAAATGGATGGTCATGGGATCAGTCTATCTAGAACTGTTTCAAACAAAGCCCTGTTGCATCCTTGTGTGCCCTATAATCCCTTACGCGCTATGCAACACCATTTTGTAGTCCCAAAATGTCCAAATTCCAGCAAGATTTCCCCGTCTAGCCAAGTGCTGCCTTGCCTTTTTTGGGGGCGATGCCAAATCCCTCGCTTGGGTGTTTCTTGCTCGTCGGGTGCTGCCTTTCGTGTTTGTTTTTTTTTTTGCTTTTTTTGGGGGGCGATGCCAAATCCCTCGCTTGGGTGTTTCTTGCTCGTCGGGTGCTGCCTTTCGTGCTTGGGTTCTTTTGTTGCCTTTTTTGGGGGCGATGCCAAATCCCTCGCTTGGGTGTTTCTTGCTCGTCGGGTGCTTACTAAATGGATGGTCATGGGATCAGTCTATCTAGAACTGTTTCAAACAAAGCCCTGTTGCATCCTTGTGTGCCCTATTATCCCTTACGTGCTATGGAACACCATTTTGTAGTCCCAAAATGTCCAAAATCTGTCAAGATTTCCCCTGTCTAGCCAAGTGCTGCCTTGCCTTTTTTGGGGGCGATGCCAAATCCCTCGCTTGGGTGTTTCTTGCTCGTCAGGTGCTGCCTTTCATGTTTGTTTTTTTTTTGCCTTTTTTGGGGGGCGATGCCAAATCCCTCGCTTGGGTGTTTCTTGCTCGTCAGGTGCTGCCTTTCGTGCTTGGGTTCTTTTGTTGCCTTTTTTGGGGGCGATGCCAAATCTAAATGGATGGTCTTGGGATCAATCATATGTGTTTCATGTTGTTTTCTCTACTAAATGGACCCCGTGTATTTCTCTACTAAATGGCTTTGGGGTTTTAGTCGAGTGATGTTGGTCCCGCAACTTGTGCTCAAATGAGTACCTCTACTAAATGGAACAGGGTGTTTGGTCGAGTCATGTTGGTGTCTTAAGACACTCTGAAAATATATCCAAATTTTGCGCTTCAGCTGAACCAGGGGCCCACATTTAGTAGTGAAATTCGATCATGCATGCGCATCCATTTAGTAGAGCTTGAGGCTATGCAAGCCGTTTCTTCACTACAAAATGGTTGCACAGCCCCACCCCTTAATTGACAGGGGGGTGCATTTCCTGTAATGTGGGTAAAACAATGCCACAAACCATCCCCCAAATCACCATAAATAGGTGGTATGGTTACCATTCCCAAATGGGTGGTTTATGTATTTTTCTACCCCCATTCGATGAATTTGCTGAACATGTTTTTTTGTTTTTTCTTGTCATTTTTTCCAATTTGTGAGTCTTTTCGATGTGGATCCCTTGGCGAATATCTACTGGAATTTGTGTTTTTGTTACATAGCCAAGCATAGATGGCTGGTGCTATCCTGCACATCTGATGATCCCCATTGAACTATGTTGAATTTCTTCAGGATATTTGCCACCAATCAGATGGACATGGCTCAAACATACTATATGAACCACAATGGGCTGACTGGTAATCTAACAGAATCTAACAGAAGCTATATTTCTATAACTATACAAGCCAAACTGTCTCAACATCATTGGTCCGCAAGCAATTGTGTACACGTCGTTGCTTCCAAATTAATCGAAATGATGGGTCACCCCCGAAATGTCCAGTTGCTCTTTTTTTGGGGAAATGGATGGCGATGTCTACACACCAATGTAACCAATATTTACGGCTTACGGATATTGTCCCATTTGAGGGGATTGAAGATCAAGTTTCCGGACGAGGTGCATCACTTCAGTTGGTATCTCGGGTAGCTGTGCTGGCCCTTTGCCACGGAGGTCTTCCATACAGTGTCCACACTCTTCGGTGCGGAAGGTGAGTGCTTTGACGTCAAAAAATGGGATGGTTGTGATGGTTCAAATGGGAGAGGTTTAAACATGGCCGAGTGAGGAATTTGGCTTTAGTGGATATAGTTTGGTCAAAACCGAAACAAAGTTGGCAGGGGGATCTAGTTCTGTTGTCCAGATGTTTATTCGCCATTGTATGCACAAGAATCCAATTTCTGGGGTTCATGTTGACATTATCATACATTCTCTATCTATCTATCTATCTAATCTAATCTTATCTTATCTAATCTAACCTTATCTTATCTAATCTGATCTATCTTATCTATCTTATCTTATCTTATCCATCCTTTCTAATCCTATCTATCTATCTATATATCTATCTATCTATCTATCTATCTAACTTACCTATCTAACTTATCTATCTAACTTATCTATCTATCTTATCTATCTTATCTATATTATCTATATTATCTATATTATCTATCTTATCTATCTTATCTATCTTATCTATCTTATCTATCTAATCTATCTAATCTATCTAATCTACCTAATCTATCTAATCTATCTAATCTATCTAATCTATCTAATCTATCTAATCTATCTAATCTATCTAATCTATCTAATCTATCTAATCTATCTAATCTATCTAATCTATCTAATCTATCTAATCTATCTAATCTATCGAATCTATCTAATCTATCGAATCTATCGAATCTATCGAATCTATCGAATCTATCGAATCTATCGAATCTATCGAATCTATCGAATCTATCGAATCTATCGAATCTATCGAATCTATCGAATCTATCGAATCTATCGAATCTATCTAATCTATCTAATCTATCTAATCTATCTAATCTATCTAATCTATCTAATCTATCTAATCTATCTAATCTATCTAATCTATCTAATCTATCTAATCTATCTAATCTATCTAATCTATCTAATCTATCTAATCTAGCTAATCTAGCTAATCTAGCTAATCTAGCTAATCTAGCTAATCTAGCTAATCTAGCTAATCTAGCTAATCTAGCTAATCTATCTAATCTATCTAATCTATCTAATCTATCTAATCTATCTAATCTATCTAATCTATCTAATCTATCTAATCTATCTAATCTATCTATCTGTCTTATCTTATCTTACCTCATCTCATCTCATCTCATCTCATCTTGTCTCATCTCGTCTCATCTCATCTCATCTCATCTCATCTCATCTATCTACCTATCTATCTCTCTCTCTATCTAATCTATCTATCTACTCTGTCTATCTAATCTATCTAATCTATCTATCTATCTATCTTTCTATCTATCTATCTATCTAGCTACCTATCTATCTATCTATGTATCTATCTATCTATCTATCTATCCATCTATCTATCTATCTATCTATCTGTCTTATTTATCTTTTCTTATCTTATCTTAATCTAATCTAATCTAAATCTAAATCTAATCTAATCTATTCTAAGCTAGCTATCTAGCTATCTAGCTATCTAGCTATCTAGCTACCTAGCTACCTAGCTACCTAGCTACCTAGCTACCTAGCTACCTAGCTACCTAGCTACCTAGCTACCTAGCTATCTAGCTATCTAGCTATCTAGCTATTCTAGCTATCTAGCTATCTAGCTA